AGAGAGAGCAGAACGTTAGAGATTGAACTAACAGATTCTGCAGAGTGGGAGAATAGAGATAGAATGAAGCAGAATGAGGAAAAAGGGGTCCCTATGTCCTCCAGCAGTCTAAGCCTATAGCAGCAGAACTATAGAGATAGCTCAGGATAACCTGAGTATTGATGATGGATTATTTTTTCCTCAATGACAGCTGATCCATTCAGGGAATTAAAACATCTGAATTCAAACTACGGATATGTCCATCAATGCAGACATTAATTTGACCTCTTTGGGCCTCGGTCTGCCTCCATCTCTGACCTACAGATGTTGTGAAAGCTTTAACTAGCAGAAAAGAATCTGGAGAACTTTGTGAGAAGAGAGCAGAGCCTGGCAGGAAGAGACAGAACAGTCAAACACACAACACCCATTAACAGGCAGAGAACAGGAGGTGATGGACAGGAGGGGCCTGCAGCGCCGAAGGTGAGGCTCCCCAGAGAAAACAGGATGACTCAGAGACTCAGGATGAAGGTGAAAGCTGTGGTAACAGAAAATAGACCAGGAGAGGTTAGATTTCCTGCAGTTTGAAGCACGGAGCTACAATATATCATCTTTGCTCAAAGCGCTGCATGTGCAGGAGGAAATTCTTCAGGGAACAAAGAGCGTGGACGAAGGAGCGAGCCAGGTGAGAGGTGCAGAACAGAAGGGAGGAGGAAAAGGGAAAGAGGAGGAGAGTAAAGTAGGTCAAAGCTTTTGATAAGGGTGTTTGGTGGCAGCAGAGAGGAGGGGAGGGGCAGCGGGTGGCGTATATTTAGCCAGAGTGAGGATAGACTGAGACAGGATAGGAGGAGACAGGAAGTGGCGCCGAGAGGTGACAGCTCAGCTGGAGAGGACCCGAAGCGAAGATGAGCAGAGGACGGCTGATGGAGACCCGCAGTGACATGGAACCATCTGTCATCATCCCCCCCCGTTCCATCATGGCGGTGCTGACACAAAAAGCCGTAATTACGTCTACAGCCCATCAACGGAGGCTTCAAAGGACACAGAAGCTGCAATTTCAACTAATCCCTCAGAAATCCTTCAGAAACATTTTATAGCTGCAGTAAAACTGTAGGGGGCGCTCCAAAAAAAAAGAAAATTAAAAATAATCCAATGGACGCTGGAAAACAAAGTTTGTTTTAAAATTTCTTTTTTTTTTTGGAATGATTATGATCTGGATGACTGGGAAAAATCCCCGGCATGTAGGGGGCGCTGTTTCCTCTGCCATGAAGAAGGCAGGTAGATGCTGTCTGAATTAGTTGAATTTACACTCACCGGCCACTTTATTAGGTACACCTGTCCAACTGCTCGTTAACACTTAATTTCTAAGCAGCCAAT